TTTAAAGTTTCAAATAATTTATCAGAAATTATAAGATCACATAGAGATTCAAAGGAATTAACTTTTCTTAACGAACAATAATATAGGAAGTTTGCCGTCAATCTTGCAGCAAATTGGATGTATGTCTCGCCTGATGATTTTACAGCATTTTTAAATGAGTTTAAACACTCGCGAGGGGTTAATTGGAATTCTCTGAGTACTATAGATTTTAGTTTTTCATAGTCATTTAATTCCTCTTCTTTAATATACAGTAAGACGTTATGAGCTCTTTCGCCCAGAAGATTTATTAAAATTTCAGATTTATATTCGTCATTTATTTTCTTGGTTAAAAATGCGCGTTCTAATGATTGGAAGAACAGATTAAAATTTTCAGATCTGGTGGGAACAGGAAGAGATAAAGATTTTATACTTTTTATCATATTTTCTATGTTAGTTTCGAACTGTTTTTCTTCGACTTTAGCTGCAGGATTTAAACTTAATGCTTTATTTTTAGCCAATTGAAGTTCGATTTCTTTTTCTAATTTTGCTAACTGAAGTTTCGCGAGCTCAATTTTTTGTTCTGAAGTTACCTCTCTTTCGTTTTGCGATACTCTCTCATCTATACAGTTTTGAATTAAAGTTTTAACGAAATCTGGATCACTTTCAAATGTACTACTGTTCTCAATTTTAGTCTTTAGTTTAACTATAGTGTCAGTACTTTCCACAGTACCGTCTAGCTTCTCAACAACTCTTATGAAATCCTCTTTAAGAGCGTTTTTATACATTTTATAAAAATTTAGAAAGATCCTACCTTTTTTTTCTGGCTCCCTTGTTGCTCGCACGTACGATGTATCCAATATTTGAAGAAAAAATTTCGATTCCACTGATTTCACCTCTTCGCAGGTAATATAGTTGAAATTGTAGTTCCGGCCTCTACACAGGCGGATTATTCACACTGAGTTAGTTCCAACCTCTACACAGGCGGGATTTTGAGGGTTCGTTGACAAATACACCTCTACACAGGTTATTTTGTTATTTGTTCCGACCTCTACACAGGCGGAATGAAGTTGAAAAATTCAACCTCTACACAGGTTGAACGAAGTTTCCGAAAAATGGCGGCGCGTCTCCTCCACGGACGGCTTTTTTTTTCACGTTCCAAATTTTGATCAAAATCGAAATTTTTTTTTTTTTTTTTTTTTTCAATCGCCTCTACACAGGCGGAATTTTCATGCTGAGTTCAAACCTCTACACAGGTTGAACGAAGTTTTCGAAAAAATGGCGGAGCGTCTCCTTCACGGACGCTGTTGTTCATTGTCCAGACTTTGGTTCAAAATCGAAATTTTATCGATCTCGGCCGAGCCCCCATAATTTGTGGGAGACAACAAGGGGTCCAAATGCGTTTCTCTTATGGTTTATTTAACATTAAACAAAAATTAATTAAAAAGTAGTTAAGTTTTTACAGATAAGTTTGACGATGATATTCAGAAGGTAACGCCTGCTCGCGCACCTCTCGCGTTCTCCTTTTTTCTCTCTCTAATGTCCAAGAGTTTTTTGTTTCTCTTCCACTAATTCACAAGTTTCAGTTCGTGTTTTTAGTTGCGCCTGCGCGCGAAGACTGCCTTGCTTTTGGCTGCATGCCATATATATATGGCATGCAGCCACAAGCAAGGCAGTCTTCGCGCGCAGGCGCAATGAATTGAAACTGAAACTTGTGAATTAGTGGAAGAGAAACAAAAACTCTTGACATTAGAGAGAGGAGAGAACGAGCGAGAGGTGCGCGAGCAGGCGTTACCTTCTGCATATCATCGTCAAACTTATCTGTTAAAAACTACCTTTTAATTAATTTTTGTTTAATGTTAAATAAACCATAAGAAAGAGAAACGTATTGGACCCCTTGTTGTCTCCCACAAATTATGGGGCTCGGCCGGGATCGATAAAATTTCGATTTTGAACCAAAGTCTGACAATGAACAACAGCGTCCGTGAAGGAGACGCTCCGCCATTTTTCGAAACTTCGTTCAACCTGTGTAGAGGTTGAATTTTTCAACTTCATTCCGCCTGTGTAGAGGTCGGAACAAATAACAAAATAACCTGTGTAGAGGTGTATTTTTCAACGAACCATCGACAAATATTCCGCCTGTGTAGAGGTTGGAAAACCCATCGATGAAAATTCCGCCTGTGTAGAGGTTGGAACCACTCACAAACACCTGCGAAGAGGTGTCAATTCAAACAATTTCAAGAACTATTTTTCATCTAACGATATAACCTGCGAAGAGGTGAAATCAGTGGAATCAACGTTTTCATTGGATACATCGTACGTGCGAGCAACAAGGGAGCCAGAAAAAAAAAAAAGGTAGGATCTTTCTAAATTTTCTAAAATGTATAAAAACGCTCTTAAAGAGGATCTCAAAAGAGTTGTTGAGGAGCTAGACGGTACTGTGGAAAGTACTGACACTATAGTTAAACTAAAGACTAAAATTGAGAACAGTAGTACATTTGAAAGTGATCCAGATTTCGTTAAAACTTTAATTCAAAAACTGTATAGATGAGAGAGTATCGCAAAAACGAAAAGAGAGGTAACTTCAGAACAAAAAATTGAGCTCGCGAAACTTCAGTTAGCAAAATTAGAAAAAGAAATCGAACTTCAATTGGCTAAAAATAAAGCATTAAGTTTAAATCCTGCAGCTAAAGTCGAAGAAAAACAGTTCGAAACTAACATAGAAAATATGATAAAAAGTATAAAAACTTTATCTCTTCCTGTTCCCACCAGATCTGAAAATTTTAATCTGTTCTTCCAATCATTAGAACGCGCATTTTTAACCAAGAAAATAAATGACGAATATAAATCTGAAATTTTAATAAATCTTCTGGGCGAAAGAGCTCATAACGTCTTACTGTATATTAAAGAAGAGGAATTAAATGACTATGAAAAACTAAAATCTATAGTACTCAGAGAATTCCAATTAACCCCTCGCGAGTGTTTAAACTCATTTAAAAATGCTGTAAAATCATCAGGCGAGACATACATCCAATTTGCTGCAAGATTGACGGCAAACTTCCTATATTATTGTTCGTTAAGAAAAGTTAATTCCTTTGAATCTCTATGTGATCTTATAATTTCTGATAAATTATTTGAAACTTTAAATAAGGAAACTGCAACTCATATTGGCATTCGAGAAGCAGAAGATTGGTTTAGGCCTATTGATTTAGCTAAAGAGTGTGATATTTATATTTCATCTAGAAGCGGATCACATAAAGAAACTCCTATTACTTATGGATATACCCAAGACCCCTTTAAAAATAGATCACAAAACTTTAAACCAAAGATTAAAGAGAACTATCCCCAATATCATGAAAGAGAAAATAAAAATTGCTATATATGCGGTGATTCATCTCATTGCGCAAGAGACTGTGAGAAGCGTTTTAAACCTAAAGAATCTAATGACCACATCCATAATAGAATAAATGTGAATACTTTGAAAGTCGAGAGCGAAAAACAAAATAGCGATGAATGCGCAAATCTTCAATACGTAAACATTTTTGTGGAAAATCAGCCCGTAACAGCATTGATTGATTCAGGTTGCCAGATCCCAGGTTTAAATTCCTCACTAATTAGAGTGCAAACACCTTCCGAAGAGATCATAACATTAAGTTCATGTTTTGGCGAACAGCGTATGGTAGAAGTTAAACCCATAAATATTTCTCTTGATCAACATTCTCCCAGCTTAAGTGTGAGAACGGCAATATCACCGACCTTGACCGAAGAATTTATTATACATCCCAGTATATATTCTGAAATAGAGAAACTAGGCCACGCAAAGAGCGATGTTTTATTAAGTGAAAGTGAATCCTCTTTGAGTGCAGATTTGGGTGTTCAGTTTAATTCAAGTGTTTCTTTTCCAAATGTTTCTGTTTCAAATGTGATAAAAAACTCTAGTTATGATTTATCACATGTTAAAAACTTTAATACTAGAAATGATTTGAGTTCTCTAATTAAGGATTATAAATGTAATAAAATTAAGAGTACTAAGTTAAAATTGAGTATTGTAAGAGAAAAATGTTCTGATATAGTATTGTGTAAGAAAGCCAATGGTGCCATGAAAACGAGTTCCGTGGAATTTATCTCCCGCTCACCTAACCCTTTACCTATGAAGAGTGAACATCGACGGTTTGTGTTGCTCCGAAAAATTTTTGAGCCCTGGCAGTGGAAGCGAAGGAAAAAGAGAAATCGTTTTGAACAGACGTCCAGAACTCTACAGAGGAAAATATCGATGCGTTCAACCAAAGATCAACTTGTTGAAAAAGATGTTCTTATGCCTGTGAAACAATGTGTTTTCCTGTAGAACCTTCCGGATGTCGAAGAGGTGCCTTCACATGATGGAGAAACTGTCTAGTTCAGAAAAAATTATGATATGTTTAATCTCTATATATTTGTCGTATAGTCCTTGTCTGTTCCGTTTTTTTTTTGTATGTTTCAGATTCTCCTCTGGTCTCCATGGAAATACCGCTGCGGACAGCGTACGGTCAGAATGGCCGTTATGGCATGCAGCCAAAAGCAAGGCAGTCTTCGCGCGCAGGCGCAATGAATTGAAACTGAAACTTGTGAATTAGTGGAAGAGAAACAAAAACTCTTGGACATTAGAGAGAGGAGAGAACGCGAGAGGTGCGCGAGCAGGCGTTACCTTCTGCATATCATCGTCAAACTTATCTGTTAAAAACTACCTTTTTAATTAATTTTTGTTTAATGTTAAATAAACCATAAGAAAGAGAAACGTATTGGACCCCTTGTTGTCTCCCACATATATATATATATATCCTGCTCAAAGTTTCAATTAACAAAATATACTCTTTATTCATCCACTCAAGTTCAAATATATTTTTTAAACTTGTAGTGGATGACACTTGATGTTATTACAGTTTTTTCAAATATTAATTAATTAATTCTATTTAATAAATGAATAATTAGTATCAAATAAAAGTTATAATCCAACACCATATATAAAAAGGAAAATCGCACGTTGTGTCCCAGTAGCGCAATGGACAGCCCTTTTGACTTGTAATCCAAAGGTCGTGGGTTCGAATCCCATCTGGGGTGAGTGAGTGAATATTAACGTCGCACTGTTCGCACACGAGGGCTTTTGGCGACGGACCTCGTAATTTTGAACATGGTCAAGTGACAAGGACGACATCTGAGCTGGCACCTCACTCTCCTAACTATCACACCACACCAACGGAAGGACGTTTCAGCTCTCGACAGATTTAACGTGCATCGCTGCCCTACACGGCGATTCTTTAGTGGTACTGGGTTCGAACTCATGACATGCCTGCCATAGTCCGATACCTTAACCGCTGGGCTACCGCAGTCCCGAATCAGACCTGGGATGGCACAGTTTCTAAGAAGGTAGCTACTTTTTACTACACTGTTTTATTGGAATAATTAAATTTGATTAATGATTAAATAGTAACAAATATAATAGTCCAACACCTTATATAGAAAGAAAAATGGAAAATGGCAAGGAAAATCGCTTTCTATTTTGTCACTTAATATTGTGATTCTGTTATATGTATGTACATATTTATAAAAATTGTAATAATTTAATAAAAAGTAACCAAAATATAAAATTTTTGTTTGTTGACCTAAGTAGGAACTGACTTATAAATATTTTTTTTATATTACTTATCAACCGAAAATGTAAAATATCTCAATTTCTGTTAAGAAACATTGTACAACACGAATACTCCTACTCATTCTACGAGTTTTTTTTTTCAAATTTAAAGAAAGTAACATGCAGTGTCAAAAATAATAAGTTCTCATCCCGGTTTAGTCTGGGACAAGTTCGTCGTAACACTTATCTATAAACAGAGACAAAATCTTGTTTAGTGTGAGAGAGGGGGTGGGGACCTAGAAATTACACGGATAAAACCAGAATGACACACATCTAAAAATCTTGTTGTGATGGGAAAACAAAATCTAGGAAATTTAAGAGATAAAAGTCCAATAGGGATTAAAGTAACAGAATGAAAAAAAAATCATATGACGCAGACGCAGAAGAGGCCTCTTATCCTTATCAGTCTCACGATGACGACATTTAGTGATAACATACAAGGAAAAAAATGAAAAGAGCACCGAACACATGCAGCTAAGATATATAGATAAAAGACGTTAGATGATTCAGGATGTATCATGAAAATTAAAAATAAATTGATCAAAACGCGAAAAATTCATATTCGATTTCTAAATATAAATGGATACTCTTAAAATAGATTTGGAAACTTGTGAAGAGCAGTAAATAATATTTCAAATTTCTAATCGAAATCTAAGAATTCGTCTTAAAAATTCGCTGTTTCAAAAAAGAAATACATCTTTTGAAAGGATATCGTATTTCTACAACGAAATATGTGGAATTCCAAGTCCATTCAGCGAAACACATGGCAGTTTTATCTCTTAACTGACTACTGTTAAATTGATTGTTCAAGCCACTTTTGTATATATATATACGAGTATGTTACCGTTAAAGTGTATAATTAGGTTATATGGAATAACTAGGTATTTCATGAAATAACTACACAAGTCAGTTAAAGTACGTAATAGATGAAAATTTCAGACGTTACCTAGTTATTCTATGAAATAACTATTGATACTGTTAATGAGTGAAAAATGAGCAATTTCAAAGTTATTTTATAAATTAATTGATTATGAATAGCTAAAACCTCTCGAAAAATACATTTGATACGTGTTGGGGAAGATTAATTCACAAATAATAAGGAAACGCAGACAATATTGGATGATTTAAAAAGTTTGACTATATAAAAATGTTCAAAAAATTTGCACTTGTAAAGAAATACAAGCATAAATTGATGTAAAATTAGTGAGATTATTATGTTTACAAAAAATAGCGAAACAATTAAAAAAATTTTACACATATAAAGATCGCCAATACGATCCGTCCGGAACAATTCTTTCATATATTTTAAATGTAGCACTACAATTCCAAAAAAATTTAAAAGAAAGTTAGGGCAAAACTTTCCTCTATTAATGTGATCGGTAATCCTTTTATTTTTTTAAAATGAAATATCCAAAATAAAGACATAAAGAAGCAAGTTTTAAAATACCAGGGTTCTCTCTCTCTTCCAGTTAGTGAAAAAACCAAGGATACAAAAGAGAAAAAAAAAGTGTAATTTTGCTGAAAAATGAGAAACATTAGGCAAAACAAAAGAAATTTCATTTATACATCAGTTATTTATTGTCGAGGAAATAGAAACTTTTACACACAAAAAAAAACTATGTAAAATGTTTCAATCTCTTATTCAGTAATTAATGATACACAAATAAATAAAACTTAAAATACAACACGTAGGGCTCAATGGCAAATCACCTCCTCTCTACTTTCATAGAAAGAATAAAAAAAAATTTATAAAGTTACAACTGTGCTCTCAACTTCAACCTCATAATATTTGCATCAATTAAAATTATTGAAAATAAATATTTTCATTAACTTTTTTCTTTTTACTGAAAGAGTAGAAAATGGTAGAATGAATGGAACAAAACATTTCAAAACAATATATACACAAAAAATTTCGGAAGAGTGTTATTACAATAACTTTCAGTAAACATTCATCAGAAACTTGCAAAAATGCCGTTGCTTTCGACGAGAAAAAAATTCAAATTCATAAGGGAAGTAAAGGATAAAAACTATTTTGTGTGTGCCCATTCTATTTAAATTCGTAACAAAAAAAACAACTTACACAACATTTATATAACAAAAATATATAAAACTAATAATATATATAAATTACACAATCGGAAATAAAAAAAATTAAAAAAGAGAAAAAATATAGATCCATTCATCTTTTTAATTACAGAGGCTTTAAATGAAAAAATAATATATTTTTATAATGAAATAACTTATCAGCACATGCACATCTCTCTAACAAAAAATACAAAAAGTAATTTCCAAAGTATTTTGCATTAGAGCTTTTTTTTTTTTTTCCCCCTTCTCTAAAACAGCATTTAAATTAAAATAATCATTAGAAATATATTAGATTCTTTTTAACTTTGCTAAGATTACATTTATCTTACCGAGCACATAAATAGCTTTAAAAGAAAATGTGTCCTTCAGGCTTTGTGAAAGGCTTCTATTTTCAAAATTAATGAACACTATTACAATTTCTATGAATAAATTACAACTTTTATCGCAGAAGATGTAGCTTGAGAAAATGTTGATTTTCTCTTTTCACAAAAAACGTGAATAATTGTGGTCAACTTTTCAAGCAAGGTTATAGTTAACATGAATTTTTCTATCTCTTTAATCTTCTATAATGAAATATAATAGAGTATAACTGAAATACGAATTAGTAAAGTGGGAAGATATTTTACAACGCTATTAAGAAACTTAAGATAACACTCTCTTGTCATACTTTCATTTTTTCAACAAATAAATCGTATTAAAAGTTCATGGCGTAGGAGTAACTACATGAAAGTAAATCCGGTTTTATTTTTATTTTCACAAAAGTTTTCACAACTATATATACACGGTAAGAATAAATATATTTTTCAGTTTTAAATTATTTTAGAGTAGGATTTTTAAAATGAAAAACAGAAATTCGTCTAGTTTCTTCATTGAAAATATATCAAAAAGTTATAACTAAAATTTAACAATAAAACTTTTAAATATTCTTCTACATTCCAGTTAATAAAAGCCCAGTAAAAAAAAAAAAACCTTTTGCTTTTCTTCAAAAATGTAGTATATTCAATATAATAAACTAATCTAGTTATCGATATATCTATAAATAAGATATCGATTTGCAACAATTATTGATATAATGTTACAAGTATTCCTTGTCATGAAATGATTTTAAATTTCTATATTCAAAAAAATATCCCCATAATTCTATAACGGATTAGTAATATTAATATCATTGAATCTTAATTTTCAAAAATTATAAGGAAACCGTAAGTTTTCTGAAATGTAATTTTTATTGGAATATTTTTATAAACTTCATATTTCTCAGTATACTCAACCGTTATTCTTAATATAAAAGATGTAAATATAAAATTATGTGAAATAAAATTTTTTATATAACTGAAGATTACTGGTTGCCTAAAAATAAATCAAAGAGAAAAGAATCCTAAAATTACAATTAAAAATTATGAAAGGCATGAAATAATTTGGTCACATGACGTTTTATCGAAATATGATCCTAATAACATTTTTATTATGATGGATATTTTTACCAAATAAAAAACTTAATAAATAAACTAATCAAAATCATTGATAAAGTTATTAAGAATACGTTTAAATGATACGCAGAAAATATAAATATGCTATTCAAATTTAATTCCGATACTTTTACACATTTAATAAAAAATAAAAGATATTTTTAAATTCATATAAAAACTTAACTAAACATAACAATTGCTTCTGCTTATAGGTTTTGTATCAAAAACTTTTTTTAAAAAAAATAGTTTAAAAGACCATGTTTCATTTCAAATTTTAAAACAAAAATCAATTTAGCAAAATTTTCGTAAAAATAGTTCTGAAAATTGATAAAATTGAAAGAGTTTAAAGACAATTCTCAAATTAGTAATTTGGATAAATAAAATTGCATTGTATGTGTGTAAAAATAGAAGTTTAAGGAGTAATGCATTTTACTGTAAATTATTTCAAACAATATGAAATCAATTCCAACTTGTTATTACTTCTAGTTTACTAGAATTTTTTTTTCATTAAATGTTAAAAAAAAAGCAAAAAAATATATTATAAGTAAAATTTCAAATTAATTTAAAATTTAGTTTCAGAAATTCAAATTAGAAAATAATCAATTCATTTAACAAAACAATATTTCAAATTTAAAAAAAAAAATATTTACAAAATCTTTTCGCCTACAAAAAACCGCATGAATATATTTCCTCGCCGAACAAAAACCAAAAGAACCGCCAAAATCGGCCCCCTAAATCGAGCGCATCAAAACCGAAACAAAAAGTAAACAAAAATTATTTACCTGGTCAAGTTTCATTCCTTGCCCAAACAAAGATAAAAAAAAGCAACAAGATGGTACCAAAAAATGCACCGGACCTAATAATATGTACTACAA